ATTGAAAGTGTAAAACAAGGTTCCACGGAGATAGATCGATAAATATTACTTTATTCACAATAATATCATCAAATATAATTAGTATGGCAGAGAAGTTATAGGATTTGCATGTTTTATTCTGGGCCTCTATTTTATAGCAAACCAAGACATAAATATAAGTCATAGGCCCCACAGTTGAAATCTAAAATTTTTGTTTGCATATTTTTAAGATTTAAAAAAAAATTGCATACTTCGTTATTTCGTGCATACTTCATGCATATTCTACATAAAAACTGTATGGTATTATTATATACTGTATAGTATATATATATTGTACACCACCCGATGCCCGTGTAGACTATGTACTATATTATAGGTACCCACATATTTTAGGTGAACATTCGGATAATGTTATCAAAGATAAGATTTGACTGATTTTCATTTAAGTATCTATATGAAATTTTATATTAACATTATTATGTGTCCAGAGTCCACTGTCCATCAGTAATCCTGTTAGTATGGTGTTAAGTGTCGTTCGAAACGAAACTGCGTGCCATTTGTTGTGTTTTCCATGCTTACATTTTTAAAAAAATATATTTTCTACTCACATTTTGCACAATGCCAAAAATAAATGCAAATATATTTAACAAGTATGTGAAACAGTTTGGCGTAGATACATTAGCTACCGATGGTACTATGCTTTATTGTAAGATTTGCGAAGTTTATTTAAAATAAAATTAATTGTGCAATGCAATGATTTTTATATTTCTTTTATATCTAATTTTTTTATTTTACTAAATTATAATTTAATTTTTTTGTGCATATTATCTTGCATATTTAATGAATTTGAATGCATATTTTCAATTTTTATGTGCATATTTTTCCAATTTTACCTCCTATAACTTCTCTGCCCTAATAATTAGTAATATATCATAGGCTGACGACCATCTTTGCTCAAATTGTCTTTCATATACAATGAAATTATATTTATATTATATAAAATTATATTATATTTTCAAATTTAACAGCAACAATTACAGTGAAACGCCTCTAACCTTTTGTACTGCAGAGCGGTACACACTTGCCCACCTTTTTTAATAATATATACTGAACAATATTTCTTAAAATACAAAATGTATAGGTATGTATTTTAAATAATATAATTATAAAATATTATATTGTTTTGCCACCCATTTTTTTTAACCTCTCAAATCTCAATTCACTTATTATTCATATAATTTCATAGTTTTATTATCTGCAAGTTAATGATAATTTTTAACTGAGTTAAGTTAAGTTAATGGAAAACATTTTAAAAAGTTTCAAATTAACAGTTAACCTAATTTAACTCCATTAAGTTAAAAGTTATATGACAATTTTCAATTAACTTATTAACTAAAGTTAAGTTAATTAATTTTTTTTTTTTATAAAATATCTATAAATACCTACCCAGTAATATGGTTTAAAATGATAAAAACCATAATTTTTATTGAACACATATAAACATTCAGTAAAATGTTCATGTATTTACAGTTATTTGTTTTTGAATAACAATAAAATAACAAAACCGCTAAATGAGAAATCGAGCGAATATCCAATATTATAAAAATTATGAACTTCAAACGCTCACAAAAATTTAATTTGATTTTCTTGTAGACATTATTTTTTTGATAGCTATTTAACTATTTACGTGAAAGCTTGTTTTAAATTTTCAATCCTTAGCTACAGAAGTTGAACATTTTATTAATTTTAACTACAAAATAATTATTAAATTTTAAATATGACAAATTTTGTCAAAATTCGAAATTAACATGCTTATAAAAAAAAATTATACCTATGTATTTTTCAAATGCTATTGTGACAATATATCAGGAGCCAACTTTTTACGCTTTTTTGCCCAACAAATAAAATTTTATTGATATTTATAGAAAAAAAAAGTAAGGAAATTGAAAACTGTCAATGTTCGTAAACACCTCAAAACGTGTCAAAATATTTTCAAATTTGTATGGCGTATGGAAAATGAAAATATAAATATTCAGTAAAATGTTCATGTATCTACAACTATTTGTTTTTGAATAACAATAAAATAACAAAACCAGTACATGAGAAATCAAGTGAATATTGTATAATTATGAACTTCAAACGCTCATAAAAATTTAATTTGATTTGCTTATAGACATTTTTTTTTAACATTGATAGATAAACTTATGAGTAATCTTGTATTAAATTTTCAAATCTTAGATTTAAAAAGGAACATTTTTATGAATTCTCAACACAAAATAATTTGCAAATTTTCGTGATTTTTCTGTATTTTGTCAATTTTTGAACTTTAAATGCTTATAAAAACAAACTGTGACTAAGGATTTTTAATATTTTTCATCTGTCTTTGAAAAAATATACAAGGAGCCTTCTATTGAATTTTAAATTTTTTTAACCAACAAATAAAATTGTATTAATATTTTTAGAAAAAAAACTAAAAAAAAAATGGAAAATGAAAATGTCAGTTAACAGTTCAAAATAAACCAAAATATTTTGGAATGGTTATAGTGTATAGAAAATGCAAATATAAACGACCAGTGAAAATTTCGTGTATCTAAGACCATTTGTTTTAATGTTACATCAAAAACCAAATTCGATTTTGCGTAGAAATTCCCGTTTTTCCTTAATTTTTCTTTTTTTTTTTTGGCGCTTTTCAAATTACTAGGAATTTTAAATTTTGACCTCAATAATGCACCAATGATATTCACTTTAAAATCGAACAAGATACTGCCGTTGAAAATCGAAGCTTTATTTCGACTACTTTTCGTGTACACAGACCCAAATAAAATAAAAAAGGTGCTCTACTGTACAGTAGGTTACAAGTGGGTCACTGTATAATGGATAGTAATAAATTTGAATTCAATGATATAATATCATTGTATAAGAAAAACGATTCTTAGTGGAGACGATATGTCAGTCTAGGTATAAGACATATTATATAATTATTGATGGTATTAAGGAAATTGACCTATAGTAGGTACCTAAAATAAATTCCAAATTTATCATATTACAATATCCATTATTTACCTATAACGCGTTATACATCAACAACAAACCCTGATACTACCATAGTCCATAGATTTATAATAGTGTACTTTAAAAGTTTTTAGTACCCACGAACATATTACACAATCACAACAAAATAACTAAAATAGTTATTCTAGGTTTTTTTTTTATGTAATTTTGTCCAAAGTTGAACTTAAAATGACTATAAAAATAAATTGTGTATTTTTTAGATTTTTGGTAACATAATAAACAACTTACGTGGAATCTTGTTTTTAAATTTTCAATCCTCAGGTATAAAAGTTGAACATTTTATAAATTTTTAACTACAAAATAATTATTAAATTTTATCAAAATTGGATCCTTAAATGCTTATAAAAAATAAAAAATAATTGTGCCTATGTATTTTTACACTTTTTTTCCGAACAGATAAAACTTTATTGATATTTGTAGAAAAAAAAACTAAAATAATTGAAAACTGAAAATGTCCATAAACAGCTCATAAAGAAGAGTCAAAAGATTTTCAAAATTGTATAGTGTATAAGAAATGCTAATATAAACTGCTAATATAGGCATATTCAGTGTACACAATACACATATATTCATATTATTATATACCTACATGTTGTATCGTGTACAAAGTTTGATGTCCGAGAGTGATATATCCTCCTATCAAAACCCCTATAGAATTTATTATTCCACTGTTACAAAATTATGTTTGAAATTTGTGTATAAATTATACAATTACGCACTACGAAGAATTCCTAAAAACCTCACAATAATGTCGGGGGGATCACAATCCCTCCCAATCACTAGTTGTGACACTGGTTTACAATACAATTTAAACATAATTTTGTCCGGGAAATTATTGAGCACACCTCCTCGTATATTCAAATTGATTTATAAATAAGCTGAAATATTTAGTATAGTATATAGGTACTAGGTACTTATTGATTGAACATTTTCCGATCTACTATTGTATTTAATTTTAACACATACATTAGTTTTTCTATTTTGGCTTTGGCATATATTTTATTCTAATGGTTACCTATGTTCATTATACATTCCTATTTATTTTCTAACTACACTGATGCTGTGGTAACTATTCAATAGACTCTAAAATCAAGATAATACGTCACACCTATGTACTAAGAAGATGTCCAGGAAATTCTCAATTACTTAATTAAAATATTGTTTTAATTATTTTATGTGTATTAATTATTTTATGTGTATAATATATTATATTACATTTTTAAAGTATATTTAATATTTAATGTGATGTTTTTAATTTTGTTTTTTAGTATTGAATATGAGTTGACCAGTTTAATTGTACTTCGTTTATGTTTCTTTATATGGAATGTTTTTTGTGTTTGTAAGTTTACACCTAATAATAATACACGAAACAATAAGTACCTAACTATCATATTAATTATAAATGTTAAAATATATTACTTAAATTATAGCCATTGATGTGCATTGGTTATTGAAAACGTGTGTATATCATCAAATAATTAGTGCAAGAACAAGAAATACGGACCAATATTTGATTATGGCCGAAACAAATAAACTAATAATTGAATATTAAGACAATGATTTAAATATTACGTTTATATATTTTAAAAAGTTGGGTGAGTGGATGTAGCTCTGCTGTATGGTAGGCTACAATATGGTGTTAAATTTGAATTCAATGATATAATATCATTGTACGAGAAAAACGAATCTGAGCGAAAACGGTCAGTCACCCTATGATATTACGAAGTATATTTGAAGATATTAAGGTGAATAAAGTAATTTATATATAACCTATTTACGTGGAATCTTTTTTTATATTTTCAATCCTTAGCTATAAAAGTTGAACATTTATACATTTTTAACTTCAAAATAATTATTGAATTTTAAATGTGATAAATGTTACGTCTCAACTGAGGTCGATATATACATCAACGCAGGAATGAATAACTGATAAATAAAATAAAACTAACCTGTATCCTCAAATTCGTCCATTGCGTTCATACATATAATATCATCGTCGGATACCGCATTCGATCCACCGGCCGGGACATCTGGTACAAATATCTGCGGCGCGATTTGAAAATCTCCCTGCGGAGCGGCAAGAGGCGCGAACTGTATGACGCTTGGTGGTCGTGCTGGTTGAGCGGTGATTGGCGCAGCGGGTATTGGTCTCAAATGAGCCGGAACGTTTACGATACCTTAGGAAAAATAATATAAATTAATATTGTATAAGATAGAAATAAAACTTTATATTATTAATACATACCATGAATATTCTTCATATGTTTGTTGAGCCCGGTTTTGTATGCGAATGTTAATGGGCAAGCAGTGCACGGAAAACGTACACCCATATGTTTTTTTTGATGTGCGACCAAATTGCGTTTCATGGTGAAAACTGACGGACACTGATCGCAATTAAACATGTTTAAAATGTTTGTAATGAAAACAAACGAAAAGAATATAGTGTTTAAACACTGACAAAATTAAACACTTGAAAAAATTGTAAATACTGTTGAGTAAGGACTGTGAAAACACGAAGACAGCAAAGGCAAAGTAAACGTGAAGGTATGGGTGTCTGGAACAGACTGGCTCTGTCTATGCAGACAACGGAGCAAGTGTCCAGAAATCTGAGCATTTCAAGCCGTGGGTTACCAAAATATTAATCAAGTATTTACTTTGATAAATGTGTACTTCACTAGTTATTACCAATTATTTTAGGAACCATCGTTTATCAGTAAAATTTCCAGGAATTCGTCTGTGCGTGTTGACAACAGACCGGACGAAACAGGTCGTTCCGCCGACAATAGAACAATAGAACTTTTACTACCAATACTTGCCTAACACAATGTTGTATATTTCTATACACAACCCTTACTCGATGAAGCCTTACAAAAATATGACCTAAATGCTACTTTTAAAATTGCCGCTAACATAACCATCTAACAATAGATTTTCGTCCCATCGGCTTACAATAGATACCCCTTTCTGCCAGTGGTGGCGTGAACATTTTTCATTCATGAGACAAAAACGTTTTTAGGGTCCACCCACCCTCAAAAGAGTTTACGAATTACGAGTGTCGAGTACATTTATAATAATAGGTACACACTACACACCATATAAAAGTAATAAACATGACCCGGGTCTCATAAAACCCTTGTCGCACGCCGCCAATGTTCTAAGATATTACATGAATACAAAACGAAGGGTATAGTCACAACCCTTGTTGAAGAATGTCATTGTTAACAATAACTAGGGTATGTCGGGACACTTTGATCTGTTGTTGACCGCATCCGAGCACGGACCATGCGCCAACCTGTGGCCTTTTTTCAATATTTATTTTTTGAAAAATTTAGATAATATATACAAAACGGTCGTTCGATGCATACATAATATATGCGCATGCGCGAAAATATGTTGTACGCATGCGCTATACAATGACGAGCAAGGACGGGGCGGGGTAAAATATACGTCGCGCACGTGCGAGATCGGGCGGCGGCGATGACGAGCAAGGATAATGGGATCATGGGATAATGGGATCATGGGATCATGGGATCATCGGTCTGAACTCTCTATTTTATACTACTATTAACCTTCAAGTATTATGTAAGGACATTACATTCAATCGTTTGAATGGATTTAGGTATGAGTAAATTATACGCCAATGAACTCAAATGAGGGCTCTGCTTTGTGTGTAGATTACAATAATATCATATTGCTCACAAAACGTCATCCTGCATTCTCACTAGTCAGACTCTTCGATGCAGTCCAGTTGAATGTTCCATTCATATTATGTATAGTATGCATGGTTTGTCCCGGTGGAGTAACAAATGCATCAAATGCATTCAAAAATTTATATTATATTTTTAACGTGTATATATTAATGACTGTTCTAGGAGGAAATAATACCAGGGTATTTTTTTTAAAAAAAGTAAGTGAGTGCAATTTATTACACGACGACGATATTTTACCTGAAACCTTACACAACTGAAGTAAAGGAATATAACTGACATTTGATTAGCCAAAAAGTTTCCACGAAAAGACGTATATATGACGTATGAAAAAAATATGTATTATAATTTATAATATGTACATTGTACCTACAATATGAAATTCATTGCACGTGTGACAACAAAATGTTCGTTTTAATGTGTATAACCTAATAAACACGAGTCTTATTCTAAGTTGCGACCTACAATATTGAATCTTATGATTGATTCGATTAAGATATTGTATGGAGTCATATTTATTACACATTACCAAAATGATATTTCTGATGTAAAAAATATAAATTGTACTGTACATGAATATTGATTATTCATTTATTCATGCTCTACTCTGGATAGGTAATATGCAGTCAACTCCACCGTGCTCGACGCATTTTTGCATTTATCGAGATTATTTGAATATTATGTGGGCAACTGAATTTTATTAATTTATTCCTAACGTAATAACAACCATTGCATTTTTGAAAAATCATTGTCTCATGCCATCGGCTAATACAACAACGGCTTGTATTAAATGTCAAGAGCAGACACAAATCTATATTACTATATTAGGAAAAAAAATTGCAATCGTGCGAAATAGGTGCCAAACATACCAGTCCATCTGCAAAAAAAAACAATCGTTTTCATTTATTATGTTGATTAAAAAGATCGGCTCAATTCAAATTTAACTTCTGGTAAATTTTTTTAAATAGTTTTTTACCGGACAATACCGGTCTCAATACATACCAACAACAATATTAATAACATTAACCGGTAAAATATCTAACACTATAAATTCTTAACTGGTATAACGTGTATAGAGATGTATGCTACACACTTTTTAATACTCCGTAGAAACCAATGAGTGAACCAGGCGATACTTGCATGAGTAATGTTTCTGATTGACTATATACTATATTTATCTGAATCCGACTCAGATAGTTAAGCAAAATAAACTACGTAATTTAAGAAATTATAGAAGTGGTAACGAAGGCCTTTTTTGCAGGGCTTAAATATTATTTTATATTCCGATTTCAGTTTCGGTTATCGGTATTTATTTTTTCTGAATTTCAGTTTCAGATTTCGTTTTTGGTGTTGACTAACGTTATTGGTTTTTTTCGATTTTGTTTTCGGTTTCGGGACTTCGGTTTTAAAGGTTTTAACCAGTATACAAAATCGGTATCAAAAATAGGTTTTAGGCCCTGCCTTTTTGAAGGTTTTTGGTACATACCTAAGAGTTGGAGATAAAATGGTATTCATGAAAAATAATTTTTTTAATTTTAACAATATGATTGTGTTACACATACTAGTATCTCATAGAAAAATAAAAAAATTAAATTTTACTTGGCACAAGTGTACTTACACAATATATCAGACGAATGGAAATCGTATGGAAATCTCAAATAAGTACCTGAGAAAAAAATTATCAAACTGTAAACTATTCTTAAAATTTTATCAACCAGCCTCAATATAAAATACACAAACCATAATTTAAGTGGTGTGGTCAGTTATATTAATACTTCCTATATATCGCATATTACGGTATATATTTTATTAAATTCAATTGAAATTTTAAAACGCCATTTTTAACTGAAAACTTGTATGTTAGTGTGAAAAATTAGCAATTGTCTTAAACAATTATTAAATGTTGAAAACATTTCGAGGGGGGTCCGGACGACCCCTAAGATACGATCTTGTAGGTCAAACATGCAATGGATGCCATTTAAATGTGTATATTTAAAAAAAAAAAGGACTTAAATTGACAGACGCAGGTAATATTCTGCAAGATATATTTCCCACTTCTTGAAATTTAAATAAATAATTTATTATAAAATATTTATTTTGTTTTCAATAATTAAACGATATTGGTATGGTTTAAACTCTTATGAATAATCACAAGGGATTTCCAAATTTTGATGAGAATATATATCACATAGCCTTATTAATTTTTCCAATTATTGTGAATAACAGTTCTTAAAATGCTGTTGTGTTTATAGTTTTGAATTTTCAACAAGCTTTTAACTTTGATGGGTGTATGCAGTATGATATGAGTTTTGAAGTGCTGAAGTACCTATATACCGAGAATAGAAATTAATTGATGTGGTAGTTAAAAGTTCAAGGCGGAAGTTTGAACTCGACACTTTATTGTTATATTTAAACTTACTTTGTGTTATAAACTTCTTATTGTCACATTCATACATTTCTTATTAGGTAGGTAATAACCTTCCTTTTAATATTTCATAGTCATACAAAAAACATATAATATATATTATTATATATAAATAAAGCGTCGATATTCAATTGTTCAAGACCATCAGGATATTTTTAAATTAAACTTGAAATATGTGTTAGGACTTGGGAATACGCAGGAATTTGGGTTTCATTTTTCTATTTCAATATTCATTCAACTTAAAATGATGTCATTTTTAATAAATGGTTATTGACTTAAGCCATTAAAAACTAGAGAAAAAATGTATACCAGTATATTATAAAAAATGTATTTTTGCCATATTATTTTCAATTTTATCAAATATAAATTTAATTAATAGTAATAGAATTTTACTGAAGTTAATCAGATGTTAAAAAAATACTATAATAAAAGATCTATAAAATAAAAATTTTTAGGAGACGAAAAATACCATCCTTATAATACTGACATAATCGTGGGGTAAATAAAATCTGTGTGCCTACTGCCTACAGCTATATCTCAAATATAATAGTAAACAATATATTTCTTAAAGCTTATATCTTAAAGCTATACATGTCATTTTCCGATGTACTTACAATATAAATCATAGAAGTATGTCTTCTTCTAGATTTTCATATTTCTGGCTGCAGATAACGAAACTGGATATTTTTGGAGAAATGGTACATATTTTATGAACAAAGTAATATTATTTAGATTATAAAATATAATGGAATGGTTGTCTCTAATGAAATTGACCATTAAATATTCAATATTATTTAGAAATTTTTGATATGACTGACAAAAATGTCATGCCTACTTGAATATCTCTTGAAAAATAACGGTATTTACATGAGTCAAAAGTTTTAAATGTTTGTGGGTAAATTTACGGATTTATTATTTAAGAAACATTGAGTATAAAAAGTGAATTAAATCAATTAATATATTAAGTTATTTGTATGTAATACATGTTACCTAAATCGAAAACGTAAATGTAAAAAACTTAACTCATTCAAAAATATATTGCGTTTTTTCAATACATGTATTGTATTAAACAGAGATAAAAATCTACAAAAAAAATGTTTGAGTATAAAAATGATTATCTTAACACTTAAATTACCTTTGATTCTTAAGCCATTCGAAAAGTGAAAGCCCTAAAATGTATATTCCTATTATACAAAAAAATAAATACTTTCTGGATACAGTCATCAGACTTTGAGTACTCATGTATATATAGTATCACTTTATTATGGAT